TGAATAATAATTAAAAAAATTTGTACATAAATCTTGTTAAATAATTTTATTTTATTTAAAAAATAAATTATTATTTCTATAAAAAAAATATTAACTAAAGGTAACTCTATTACGAAATTAGAAGATCTAAGAACAAAGTATATTTATCTTATCCTTCAAAGGTATTCACACGAGAGGGGGACCACCTACCTAGGTAAGTGGTTTTTGGTAGTTGTATTGAATCAATAACTATATATATATATATTTTTTAATTTAGTTGAATTTAGTTAGAGGCAAAAACCCTTCTTAAACCTCCAAATTTGCCTCAAAATAGCATTTAAGCTCTTAAGGTAAAAATAAAATAGATAAACCCTCCAACTCTACCAACAATGCAAATAAGTGTTTCTCACAAATGGTATTTCATATTTAATATCATCTTGAAAGCATGAATACCCATAAATGAAAAAGACTTATTTATATTATTAGTAAAATTGAAGGGCTTACCTACTTCATTTTTAATTTAAGGGCTTAAATATTATTTTAGAGTAAATTTGAGAGCTTAAGAAAGGTTTTTGCCTTAGTTAGACCAACCACAACCAGGCACCAGTCTTCATTTTACTTGTAATTTTTGGAAGTAGCCATGTTTCATCTGTCTTTTTTGTTGTCATGATCTTTCTTGACCTCATAAGTCTTGCCACATTGGCACCTCATGAGTCGGGATTCTAACTCATTCCAGTCTGGCATCATATTCATCCATTATCCATCAAAAAGAGAACAACTAGATACCATCAACCAAACATGAAACATGCATAGGGGGTGTAGCTATAGTCACGTAATTTTATTTAGTTTTATTGTTAAAAATAATTCATAATTAATAAAATAATTTTTATTTATTATTTAATAAATTAAAATTAATTTATAAATTAATATTTTTAAATATAATAATTAATTATAAATAAATTATAAATAAACAAAATATCAATTAAATTAAATATCTTTTAAATAAAACAAAAGTATGGGTGGGAGAACCACAGCCCTGCATATCTCCATCAACCATTTATATTTATGTTTGACTCCAATTTCCAAGTCTTCATATCAACTGTTCCACTGGTTAATTTTTTTTTCCCATTTTTTTTAATAAAAAATGGGTATATGACAATCATTTGTCTGCGTTGGCATTCAATAAAACCTTACAAGGATCTATGTAAAAATCCAAACAAATACCATCAACAAGAGAGGGCATCCTAATAATATAGGCTATCGTTAATCAATTGTGAGGAAAGTTCATCAAACAGGTCCTACAGTAAAACTTGATAATGAACTAACGTAACAAAGGGGCTTATTTAACCTCAATAGCCACCAACAGCAAACAAACCCTAAATCAAAATCCCCTAAAATGATGATTATTAACAACCTAGAAAGAGCACCCGATGCTCCCACTAGTAGGGTTGTAACTGACTTGCATTACTGGTGAACTACTTAACTAGGTTTGATTACGAGATAAAGTAACAACTTAGCTTAAGTTCAATTTTTGGTTCGAAAATATTTTTGAGGTCGTGCTCAAGTAAGGCTAAAATCATGTGATCCTAATATTGTGTCTTGTGTGTATATATACTACAATTAAATTTAATTTTTTCTAAAAAAAAAATCGCAAGCTACTTGAGCTTGCTTGAACTAAGAGTTAAGTTCCAACTTACCTAAATATTTTTGAATTTGAGCTCAACACCTTTAAACTTATTTGAGTACTTTTGAGTTTGGTTTTGAGCTCAATACTTTTAAGTTCAATAAAAACTTGAATCTAATTTTGAACTCACTTCAGTACTTTTGGTATTGGGTTGAAACTCGACAGATAAACCTTCAAGTTCAATGAAAACTCGAATTCAATTTAAAGTTGTCATTATTATAACTTCAAACTAAAGTGCTTAGCTACTAAGGTACTTAGCTACTTGGCCCGTTTATAATTTACCTACCACCTAGCCAGACAACCTTATTGAGCTAATAAAAAAAGAGTAAAAAAATAAACCTAAAATAACAGGAAAGGTTAATGAATAACACACAAGCAAATAGTCTCACCATACAATCCTCTCCAACCAATGACCAAACCACCTCCATCACCTGAACTCCCTCATGTGAACCTAGTTCGCCGCCTATGCTTGGAGCATAAGAGTCCTTATGCCACCCTTTCGATATGAGCACTCCTCCATTGGATGAGCCTCTATCACAAACAAGCCTTGAGTCTCACCACCACCTATGTGCCATACACCGTCCTTCCCAAAGTTGCCCAACAAATAGCCCCTCTGCTTGCTTGGACCTCATGCAACCCTCCGACCCATATCGCTAGAGATCTACTACATCATTGAAGTGCTCACAACCCCCTCATTTACTCCTGTGTATGGCACTCTTAACTCTAGTGCCCCAAACGAGTCTCAATAATTCACCCATAGAAGACAACTGAAAGAAAAAATAGTCATCTAAGAACCATCAACATTCGCCCCTCTGAGAAACCAGACCAAACCACCAGTCCTTACTGCTAACCATCATGCCGATAAATGGAAAACTACCCATGGGATGAGGAAACCTCTTTTGCTTAAGACGCCAAACAATTGTGAGAGACCACAACAAAGCACTATCCATTTTTCTTAAATAAGAAGCACAAGATTATCGCATTTATCATTTTTTTTTTTGAAAGAAATTAATAAAATTCATAACTAAAAAAAATAACATAGAAATCTCAATAAATTAAACCGTATAAGCATAATAAAGTTAGGCTAAACACATAACACTAGTAACAGATGATCTCATCCGTGACATATATGGATAGTTAAGTATAAAGAGTCATCAATTACCAGAGATTGTATAATCAATTGCTACAAGGGAGCAAATAGACCTCGGAGGACTGCCCAATTGTGCTTCAAAACATCTAAGAAGTTCGATATGTTGCTCCAGCTTTTGGGTAGAAAGTTTAGCCAGGGAACCCACCCCAACCATGTCGTCTATTGTCGAAGTAGGCACTACAACTTGTTCGAGCCCAACCAACCATACATCTGCACCATCTTCCTCCTCACCACAAGCAAAACCCGATGAAAATAAATCGAGATGATTAAAGTAGAAACTCCAAAGAGAGAGAGAAAAAATATCACTTTTCTTTATGCTCCCCACTACTAAGAGGGAAAGAGGCAGTGGATAGGGATAAAGAAAGAGTGAAAAGAAAGTAGTGGGAATCAGGAGCGAGCATTTATAATTAGGATATGGTTTGGATGTCATAAAGTTTACAACCCTTAGGATCTCAGGATTTATATTCGACATTCTGATTAGGAACTTGGATGAATGAGGGTTGAGGTGACAATGATGAAGCCAGACAATTGTGAAGCATGGCATCGTGATTAACCTTAAAAAAAAATGAAAAGAAGAAGGCAATTAGTTTGTACAACTACTACAGGACAAGGGGGAAAAGGGTGTGGCTGGGGTTTTCAACATATAATCGCCACGCCAGCAATTTCCACTGTCGCAGGTGGTAAACCAACCACCCTCATTGAGTGTAGACTTAGGGGACCATGATAACACCAGTCAATTGTGAAGCATGACATCGTGATTTAACTAGATTCATTGAGATTTCTTAAATTTACCATAAATAAACCCAAACGGGAGATTTTCACTATAGTCAAATCTCGATTAAGGTTAAACTGTTTGCATCTGTTTTGTTTTTTCTTTTTCCTTTTTCTTAATGAGAACTGTTTGAATCTTTCAGAAATTGTTTGACGTTTTTCTCTTTTTAATGGTCTATGTACATCAATTGACTGCTTCAAAAAACAGTTTTAAAATAATAATATCAAACTTTTTGTAGGTCTTCACAAGACACTTGAGAGGTATAAAAATAGACCAGATAGACTATTTGTTACGTTGTGGTCTGGCTTAAAATTTTTTTTTAACTCGTGATTTATAAAAATAATATAATTATAATGGTACCTAATATTATGTACTTTTATATAATTAAATTTTTTTGCTTATAATATCAACCTATCGAGTTGATTACAGATCCCCAGTGACTTCATATTTCTTTGTTTTTAATGATCTTTTTGCCCTTTTCCCTGCTTAACTGGGAAGTAACCTTCTCAAGGGCTCCATTTGTACTTGAACAAGAGTACCAGATATTTAGGTAATGCAGGAGCTAAAACCATTTGAAATTTAATTTAGAAGGTAAAAACAAAATAGGTTAATACTGAACCATATATATCAAATTACAAGATTACCAGCTTTTACACGAAACCCATTTTACAAAAATTCCCAACCCTTCAGAACATTATCAGAGTTTGTTCTAGCAGAATTGTCAACTGAACCTCTGAATCCAAAGAATGATAATAATTAATACGAAAGCTATCTGTACAATGGATACTAGTAGATAGACCAAGCCTTAGCTACAGAGGAAGACGAAGGTGTAATCAATTTGATTAAATTAGGCTGGTGAATGATGCGGTTAACATGTAAGGGACGTTGGCAAGAGGCCCTCGTTGGCAGGCAAGCTCGTGAATGTCCTTTACAATGTCAAAAACCGCCTCTGGTTGTGCTAGTTTTAGTGCATTCTCTGACATTCTCTTGAGCTCATCTGTTTTTGTGCTGAACCATTCAGCCACAATTTTAGCTGTTTCTTTGGGACTTCTGGTAAACACACCTGCCCCATTGTCTACTACGTAAGGCACATTGCCCTTTTCCTACAATTGTCAGAATGGTTGAGGTTAATAATACTAAAAACAGAACGGCAAGCGGATTGCAGTACCAAAAAATGAAAATTTGATAGAAAACCTGTCCAGGAATGTAGTCGTTGAGGATAATAGGTAGCCCTCTGATTAAGGCCTCTGTAATAGTACCAGGTCCAGCCTAAGAAAAAATCCTCAAAGATTAGCTGATCAACATACTTCTGTACATGCATTTAACTTTGCTTGATAATGTGCAGAGAAAAAGAATAGAAAAAATTAAAAAGGGAAGTAATTGAAAAAGGGAACTTATTGACATACTTTTGTAATTATGCAATCACATGCTCCCATCCATTTCTCCATCTGAGTCTCAAAACCTCGGACCTACAATGGAGAAAAATATTCATTTAACAGATATACGCATTTTGGTTTTCTGGTGCTTACGTCAAGTAAGGTTGAGAAATATAATGACTTACCTTAACCGGGATATTCCATTCATCTGATTCTAATGTAGTGGCAAGCGCTTTGTTACGTCCACAAATGATAATTAATTGCCCTATTGGTTTCCCTTGATCTTTATCAAGAAGTGATTCTCCAAGAGCCCTTGCTGTTTTCCTAACGGGACCCATCCCTTCACCCCCTCCCATGAGAAGAACTGCAGGCAAATCAGGATCCATCTCTAGTTCTTTTCTCAATTCATCCTAGAGCAACCAAGAAAGAAAAATGGAAAACTTAAAACCAAAACTCCATCAAGTTAAAGCAAGCAGAGAGAAGACATCTAGATATGTCTACTATCCTGACCTTGGAAAGAACTGCTCGAGCAAAAGAAGGACGAATAGGGAGGCCAAAGACTCGAGTTTGAGACTCTTCAAGGCCATCATCTAAAGCCCTCTTGGCTACTTCCTTGGAAGGGCAATAGCATCTGTTGACCCCTGGATGAAACCTGAACAGTTTAAACACGTTAAGATACAGAATGCCGTGTGAGTAAGTAACAGATGTAAACACAACAAGCTTTCTCAACTAACCACGTAGGAGATGACCCAAAAAAATTAAAAAAAATAAATTAATTAAAAAAACTAACCATGTAGGGTGGCAGGAGTTGAGGTCTGTAATTACTGTGACAAAAATTACTTTCTTCTGAAGCCCTTGCCATTTAAGAACCCATAGAGGAATGTGTTGCATCAGTGGATGGACGCTAATTATAATATCGGGCTTGTACTCCATTAGCCCAGCCTCAACCTCCCTTAATCACACAAAGTGCAACCCAAATTAGCTGTATCCCATTAATATAAAAATACAAATCATAGAATTGGATTCTATTATATCAGCATATCCAAAACCAGTTAGTCTCCACCTCAAGACATCATTTCAATTTACTTGACCAATAGATGACAACTGCTTTCTATTAGCTTCAACTTCCCGCAATTGATTAAGTCACAACTGGGCAATAAAGAGATCTCTTAAAAGGAATAAAAAGCAAGATCACATCAAAACTTTATGAATAAGTGAACCGGATGCAATTATTGCACTTTATATTAGTAGTATTGAAGAATATAAAAACTATCATTAATTCCATCAACAATTGCTCCAACACTCCGTGATAATATTAATTAAGAAATTATTTAAATAAATATCAACTTTTATTTTTTCAAAATCAATTAATCTTATGGCATAATTTAGAAAAACCCTATAAATAATAATATCAAAAATTTAATCCCAAGATTCAAATATTATTCCTAGGAGACCATAACCTTTTGTTCTTGGCATAAAAGTTAAGGCATTACCATTATAGGATCCTTCAAACTAGCTCACAGAGAGATTGAAAGATGAGAGGTGTGTAGAAGAGTGCCCTTACTTGGCGTAATAAGCGGCAAAAGCTGCAAGATAACATGAGTGTATCCATCTGGGAGAGGTACTGTGAAAGGCAACTTTCCATAGCTGGACATGTTTCACCATGAACTTGTAGGACCTCTCCATGTCATTCAATGGCCAGCCTGTGTACTCCTTCCAAACATCTTTCACAAATATCTGACATCCAAATATTATATCGAAGGATGCTTGGTTAAATTGCCCAAAAAAAAAAAAAAAAAAAAAAAAAAGGGGAAAAATGTTGAAACAATTAAGATGCATAATAAATTTAATTTGGGTTTTTCATATTTCTTGTTCTTCTGGATTTGGATTGTAGAAAACTGACTTTGTAGAACAAAATTTAGAGGAAAAGGATTGAAGCCAGAACGGAAAAGAGCGGAACTTGAATACAAGTTACAACACAATTAAGAAAAAAGGGAAAAGGAATGGGAGATCTAGAAGAAAAGAAAAAAATCAGAAAAGATTATTGATATTGGAAAGGAAAGGAAAGGGGTGAATTGTCCATGATTTGGAAGACAAGAAGAAAAATCCATGAATAAGAAAACATTTTTTGCTTGATATTGACATTGCATAAGCTCCATAAAATTAAAAAAAAAAAAAAATTGACCAAGAAAATGGAAAATTTCAGAAGCCGATCATAAGATGAAAATAAAATCATTTGATCCGAGATGAGGGAAATGATAATTGACGGGATTTATCGAATTACCCTGTATTCATCCCCAAACTCAATCTTGAAAGCGTCGCGGATGGCCTCGGCGGAAGCTCGATGGCCGCCACCGGTATCGCTCATGAGAATCAACACATTCTTGGTCCTCTCCGCACCGATCTGCACCAGCGGAAAGTTCCCATCTTCGTCTTCGTATTCATCATCGCTCTCGTACGAACACCTCTTGGTACTATGAAAATGGCCGGCCCCACTGCTTCTGCCTGCGTTGCTGCTAACATAATTCCCATAAACCCTCTGCCACACCTTCTCTGTAATGGAAGCTGCTTTCTTCGGAGACGCCACCTTCATAACCATGTCCGTTGAATTTACCACTGTAACCCACAAAAACAAACCAACAATCTGTAGGGAAGAAGAAAGACCCAGATGAGGCAACGGCCGCGCGGACTTTCCCGACACAGAAAAAGGGGAAATTTTCCGGCGGAGAGAGGAGGAGGAAGAAGTGGATGGTAGAGAGACGTTGGTTCAGGTCAACCGGATCCTTGGCCTTAATAAGACGTACGGGGAAGCTAGAAGCCTAGAATTATGCTGGGAATTTTTTTGATTTTAGGAGAGGGTTTATACAGCTTCTTAGCCGTCAGATTCGCATTTGTTTTGGAATGTTCGGAGGGGAAGATTCGGATCTTTACTATGTTTTATACTCCCTAAACTGCCGTTTTGTATTTTTCTTTTTCCTTTAATTAAATTTTAAAATTTTTATTTTATAATTTAAATTATAAAATAAAAATTATTAAATAAAAAACTTAATATTAAAAAATCATAATTTTATTTAATAATTAATATAGTAAAATTTATTACAGATTAAAATACACTATATTTTTTCCTTAAATTTTTAACTCTATCTTTACATCTCTAGAACTCCAATCCACCCATTGCTTATTAATTTCAATTTTTTTTTTTTTTGGGTTTAGTGGTTATGGCAATTCCTCTCGGATCTAGTTATAAGCACGTGATTTTTACTGTAAATAAAAATTTATAAGTTTTTATCTTCTTATTAGTCTCAAAATAAATTTTAAAAAAATAAAAAGAATTTTTTTATAAAATTACTTAAATATTTTAAATAAATCTTTATTATATATATTTATTAATTTATTTGAAATATTTAAATAATTTTATAAAAAAATTTAATATTTTAATTAATTATTACAAATCTTAATTTTTTATAATTTTATAAATTTTATTAAACAAATATTCTTATCAAGTCACAACACGAATGGAAAGACTTATCATATTAGAGATTATTTTGAGGGGGTTAACATATCTTGCACTGTTTTCTTTTTAATATTATGTTTTCGATTCCTCTGGACCTCGGTTTACAGAATTTTCCTCTATTTCTTTTATTTTCTTGATTTATTTACCCATAACAGCTGAGTTTGATTTCCATCCCCCAGTTCCGTTTCCTTTTTTTTTTTTTGGTACACGCTAGTTCCGTTTCCTACTTTCATGCATGGTTGCGAAATCAGAGGAGTACAACGAGGGCCACGTATCTCTTTTCATTTTCATAACCGGAAAAGCTGAATTCAATGAGTGATCTATGAACTATCTCTCAATATCAATTTAACCTAAAAAATTTAGTTTTTATCTAAATGATTTATTAAATTTGTGAAATATAATAGTCACCCCCACCAAAATTCTGTCAGGTTTAATTCCATTTAAAGTGTAATATTCCTTCAAGTTTTGAGATAGTAATACTTTAATTCTAATAAAACCTAATTACTTAAGGAATATTCTATGAAAATAGATTAATTAAAATTTGTAATGAAATTGAGCAACTAACTCAATTCTAAGAAAAAAATTTTGGCATGTTTGGAACAAGAAACTTTAAAAGCAAGTCTCTAAGATAAAAAAAAGGTTAGAACTCTTAACTATTAAATAAGGATGAAAAGAGAGAATAAATGCATTATACCAGTTACATACTAGTCTATAATTTGAATTAGGTTTTGAAAATCTTCCAAAATTTTGGTATTAGAGCCAAATAGATTTAATGTTGTTAATAAAAGAGTTAAAAGAATTATTAAGATTTTATAAAGATTAAATAAATTTTATCTCAAAGAGAATAGGAATTAAAGGAGAGATACAATATAGAATTGACGAGCTACTTTGAGAAAAGCATATTTATATGTATGGTACAAATATATGTAGTTAAAAAGCAATTAAAAAAATTAGCATTTTCAACTAAGAGATACAACTTGGAGAGGAAAAGAGCTAGTTTTCTAGCAAAATTAATTTTAAAGACTAAAAATTTATAAGAGATATAGTTGAAGGTGAATTTAAAACTATCTTCAGGAAATTAATAATCAAGTTAGTAGATTAAACCAAACTAATATGAATATGAAAGATAATAAATAGAATTGAAAAAATTCAAAGATAATAAATAGCATTAGAAAAAAAAATATGAAATTACTAGACAATTTATTAAATTAAGTCAAACCAAAAACAAAATACCTTTGTTCCTCTAAAGACATTCTATTTCTCAAACATATAAAAGTTTCATTTAAAAAAAAAAAAAAATTTGCCCATACTTTCAATGGCATTTCTATTGCCCTTTTTAACGGGGAGATTTTTTCTGACGTGCTTGAGGCCAGACATGGTTATAAGGCTTTATTTGGCTTTTCCATTAAAATGTAATTGAGATAGGTTTTTTCACTATAGATTGCATTTTTTTGTGTAGTTATGGTATTGAAATTATCGAAACATTATAAATAAATATAGAGGGAAGTTTAATTAAGGATGTTTTTGATAATTTCAATATTTGGATGAAAAAAAAAAACATGTACTTAATTAAAACACATTTTTAAATGTAATTTATAGTGGATTACAAATAGTTGATAGCTAACATTAGGTAACTATTAACTAATATTAATTAGAGAATATTTTTTCTTTTTGGTTCAAATAGCATAAAAAAAATAAAGTTTGAGTTATGAAAGTGTCAAAACATTCTTTATAAATTTTATTTTATAAGAGTAATTAAATATTTTTATAGCTTATACAACATACAGTTTGCAACTTGATTATAAAAAATATTTCTGTATAATTAATAAATATATCATAAAAAATAAATATATATAAATTAATTAAGGTACTAAAAAAATACTAATTAATAGTGGACTTTATTGCGTGCAGCTATTGTTGGGTTACAAAGTAAAATAGGATTATGAAACCTCGTCTGGCAAGGCCAAAAAAACCCTGTTTGACAAACTGGCAAATACCAAGGCCTTAAAACTTTAAGGTTATGGAATTAAAAAATTGCTTTTCTTCCAGAGAAAAAAGAAATTGTTTTAGGTTATGGAATTAAAAAAACATGAAAGCTAGTTGTAATGTCAGCGGCAAGAGGATTTTTGATTTTTCTCTTCTTCCCCTTGTAGGAATTGTGTTTCTTCCGGTGATATTTTTGTTGGTGATCTTTTCTCCCTCTCCACATGCCTGGGTTTCCTTTCTCGTAAGAGGCGTTGTGTTGGTGGTAAGCAGAGGCTGTGGCCGCTAGTGGATTGGGATGTTGCATGGTGGCGACGAGAGGCTTCTTGCAGTAGCAGCTGTCAATGAGGCATCTGTGGAAGAATCTTTTTTATCCCTGTCGATTCCCTTTTTCAAGCGGGTTTAATGATGGTTAAGTGGTCGCTGGGTGATATTATTATTATTATTATTATTAAATTCTTACAAAAGTGATATTGGTGTAATTAATTTGAAGTCAAACTAAATTATAATGAAATATTTTTTTACCAATTTTAAATTTTAAATTTTATTTTAAAAAAATTAAATTTTTATTAATGATCTAAATAATTCAATGATAATCTTTTTTTATTAAAAATAAGAGATTCTGAATTCGAATCGCATAACATGTGAGTCAGATAGAATAAAAATAAGAGAGAGTTGCTTTCTTTGTACGAGCAACATAAAAAATAAATAAATAAATTTTTTTTATTAAGATGAGGCAAAATCATAAGTTAAGCCCCTAAACTAACCTCAAAATCACTATTAAGCCCTTAGAATTAAATTGATGCATATAAGCTCCTGAACTCTGCAATTGAAGCAATTTAACCGTTATTCTCATAGTCAATTTAACTGACATTAATTACTGTTAACTATTGTTAATTGCCGTTTAGGGACCGCCTCGTGTGACGAAATATGGCCGTCTCATGCTTATGTGCAGTGTTTTGAAACCCGGATCGGACTGGTCGGTCTGATCGGTTCGATCGGCACCCGGAGCATGAAACGGGCTGGGTTGACCCCAGGCCCGTTTGGACGGTTGGCCCGTCCAAACCCGGGGAACCCGTTCAACCCGTCCAGCCCGGCAGAC